ATAAACACAATTTTTAAAATTAGCAAAGGATATGAACAGAAGATACCAAAATGGTCAATAAAAATTTGACATACTCAGTCCCACAATTAATTAATGCAAATTAATATGAGAATGTTGAAAGATAAACATTCACTAAAGTATATAAACGTACTTACTTACTAAAACCAAAGTTGACTGACTGGTCACTGATAATCTCAAACTGCACGGGACGATCACCCATACAATATTTTCTTAGTAACTCTAGGCAGGTATGTAACGTTTTTCTTGACGGCTTATTTTCATGAAAAAGATCACCACCTAACAAAATAAAATCCACCTAATCAACAGAAAATGATGCTAAAATTAGTATGTTTCATAGGTAAATTTTTGAAAATTTAGAAAGAAGAACAAAAATCACAGAAGACATTAATTATTTATGGGGACTCAAATTTTTCCATTTTTTTAATTCAAAGGGCTTTCCAATCTAGTAATTAATCTGACTCCAAGTTGGGTCCCTGAGCCACCCTAAAAAAACAAAACAAACCAGTTGCCATTGAGTTGATTCCGATTCATGGTGACCCCGTGTGTGTCAGAAAACTGGGCTCCAGAGGGTTTTCAACGGCAGATTTTTCAGAAGTAGATCCCCAGGCCTTTCTTCCAAGGCACCTTTGGGTGGACTTGAACCTCCAACCTTTTAGTTAGCAGCCAAGCACGTTCACCGTCTACACCACCCAGGAACTCCACCTTCAAAAAAGCCATCTTCAAATTATTACACCAAGTCCCTGACTCATGCTACCCAAGGTGATTATATTTCTTTTTTTATGAGTCAAATCAAACATAAACTTAGCACTTTAATAGAACCTAGATAAGATAACCAATTCAATTCATTTGACAATTATTTATAGAGTACTCATAGGCTCTAATAGCTAAGGAAATAGCAATAAACAAAACAGATGATGCCTCTGCTCTCATTAAACATCAACCATGAGCAATACCCTTTGCTGGATAGATCCTGAGGATACAATGATGAATAAAATATGATCCCTATCCTAAATATGTCCCAAATCTAATGGAAGAGACAAACTGCTATGCATCTAAACACAAGTCAGATCTGATATGCACCATAATGGATAATGTAAACAAACCAGCAGCAGAGGTGACATTACAATAATTCTGAGGACAGGAAAGGCATCTGAACAGGGAGAGCCTAGGAAGGCTGTACTAACATGGTGGCACTGGCTGCACTACCAAGGATAAATAAGATTTTGAGGAAGAGCATCTAGGAACAGCATCCAGGAAGGAGGAAATCATACAGGGGAAAAAAAAAAAGTCCAGCACACACCCACTTCCAAGAAGTGCTCAATTTACCTAAAGAAACTTCAGTTCCTAATTATACAGTATATCTAGAACACAGGAGTACAGATCGCTATGGACTAGAGTGGTCTGAGGAACTTCAATCAGAAGGTCCATTTAAGCTGGGTCTTCAAGAATGAACAGTATTTGAGTAAGGGAAGAAGATGATCATAAGCAAAGGCATGAAAAAACAGAACAAAAATAACTAAACAAAGCAAAACTATTTTTAAAAACTGGCTTGTGACTCCAGGGAATACTAAGGGTACAACTCACTCTGTGGTATTCCTGCCAAAAGGGCACAGCCTGATCTAACCATCCAGGTCAAACACCTAAACGTGCAAAGAAACACAAAAATTACTGCAACCAAATATATTTACTGTGAGTAGATACAATTCAAATCGGCCAGCACCAATGCTAAGCTATCAGGAAGGTGCTCCAACGAGGGGCCAGTGAAAACAGGTTCTAGAGGTCATTGCCATGTTAATTTCTCGGGAATAACCTCAGAACACATGCAGGGTTCCAGGGTAGGTCAGCTGTGGTAAGGACATGCCATGAATTTTCCAGTCAGACCCTGGGGTTCCAGCTCCTCACAACTGGCTGCACATAGATAATTCTCTAAAAGAGCTGAATGTCTAAGGCAAACCAATCTCCACTAAGGTGCTTACTAGGCTATTGTTTGACTTGAACGTGACTTTAGGAAAACAGTTCCTTAAAGGTTCAAGCTTCAAAAGGACACCTAAGGGCAGATGGCCGGAGTGAGTCACCCCAATTCTACGGACCCAGAAATCTGGATTCTAGGAGAATTGAAACTCTTTCTCATGAGAAAATATCAGACACACCCAAGATGAGGAACTTTCTTCAAATTAACTCTTCAGGGCACCAGGGCACGAGAGACAAAGGCAGACAGAGGAACTATACCAGATGAAAGGAGACAAAAGAGACAAGTACATGCAGTAGATAATCCTGGATGGGATCCTGGATACCATAACCCCAGCCCCAAATTGCTTTGGCAACATTTAAAATTAAATAGTGTTGAATCAATATTAATTCTCTGGTTTTGATAACTGTGCTTTGGTTATTCATCCAACTTACTCTCACTCATGCAATTTACTCTCAAACGCTTTTGGAAAAAAGAAAAAATATATATGCAAAGACAGAGAGAACGATAAAGCAAATGTGGTAAAATGTTGGAGAATCTGAGTGAAGAATACAGAATTCTTTGTACTATTCTTGCAACTTTTCTTTTAAGTCTGAAATTGTTTCAAAATAAAAAGTGAAAACAAACTCCAAGCAACTAGGGAATAGAAATAAGGTTGGTTAGATGGTGTGGTGGTTAAGGTTGTATGTCAACTTGGCTGGGCCATGATTCTCAGTTATGTAATGATGTAGTTTGGTGGTTATGTAATAATGTAACTTGGCAGTTGTGTAATGATGTTATCATCTTACATTTTGTGATCTGATGTAATTATCCTCTGTGATATGATCTGACGTGATCAGCCAATCAGTTGTAAGGGGAGTTTCCTTGGGGATGTGGCTTGCATCCAATATACATGGACGTTCTGGCAAATCTCACACACTTGCTCTGGATCCTGCTTCTGGCTAGTCATCATCTGACCTTTGGTTCTTGGGACATGAGCGAGTAGCCTGCCGTCTGACCTGCCAACTCTGGGATTCATCAACTTCTGCGGTCCTGTGAGCCAGCAGTCTGCTGTCTGACTGCCGATTCCAGGATTCACCAGTTTCCGTGGCCCTGTGGGCCAACAGCCTGTCATCTGACCTGACAATCTTGGGTTTGTCAGCCCCTGCAACCACATGAATCAGGGGAAGCCTCCAGCCTGACACCTGACCCACAGATTTGGGAGTTGCCAGCCTCCACAACTGTGTGAGTCATTTCCTTGAACTAAATCTCTCTATGTTTATATATACAACTTACTGGTTTTGCTTCCCTAGAGACTCTAGCCTAAGACAGATGGCATAGGCCTACATAATAAAAGACTTAAAAAGCAAGAATTTAAGATTTGTTTCTATAATAAGAAGTATTTGATATAAATTTAGGGGAAGAATAAAAATAATATTCATCTGAAAGTCCTGGCATGGGGGAGGAGGAAGGAGTTATTAAGGAAAACAAGAAGAAACAGAGGGAAGGACAGGGCAAAGCAGAGGGAAGAAACTTATGTTCAAATTTATTCTAGGGGAAGAAATATTTCATCCCTCAAGAGTTAAGAGAAAAGAAAGGTCACAGATAGGATTCTCTGGCAGAAAACAGACTTCTTTTGGTTGTAAGTTTCTCTGCCCTCAGGGAAACAGGATATATCTTAAAAAGAGACAATACTAGCCATTCTCTCCTTCAATTAACAGATTTAAATAAGAGGGCACTGGTGGTTCAATGGTAGAGTTCTTGTCTTTCTTTTGGGAGACCCAGGCTGGATTTCCAGTCAATACACTTCATGCCCAGACACCATCCATCTATCAGTGGAGGCCTGCATGCTCCTATGATGCTAAACAGGTTTCAGTGGAGCTTCCAGACTAAAAGGAGGAGGAAGAAAGGCCTGGCAACCTACTTCCCAAAAAATCAGCCACTGAAAATCCTATGGAGCACAGTTCTACAGTAACACATAGGGGGTCAGCATAAGTCAGAATGAACTGAACAGCAACTGGTTGGCTGGATGGTTGGATTACTGGTACCACTACTCCCAAAGACTTAACATACATCAGTCACTGTCACCCCCTTTTCCCTCCTCCCCACCTCCTACAACTAGCCAAAGTATGCACATCCTATACATTCATTTCCTCTTTTCCATCCCCAATGCTACCACTTTAAAATCCTCAACCTAGTCTCCAATTCATGCTATACTCTGCTGCCAGAAGACTTTCTATTGAATTGGGTGGTGTTGATGTTAGGTGCCGCTGAGTTAGTTCTAATTCATAGCAAACCTATGTACAACAGAACAAAACACTGCCCAGTCCTGCGCCATTCTCACAGTCGTTGCTATGTTTGAGCCCACTGTTGCAGTCATTGTGTCAATCCATCTCGTTGATGGTCTTCCTCTTTTTCACTGACCCTCCACCTTACCAAGCATGATGTCCTTCTCCAGGGACTGATCCCTCCTGATAACATGTTCAAAGTACATGACATGAAGTCTCACCAACCTCGCTTCTAAGGAGCATTCTGGCTGTACTTCTTCCAAGACAGATTTATTCATTCTTCTGGCAGTCCATGGTATATTCAATATTCTTCACCAACACCATAATTCAAAGACATCAATTCTTCTTTGGTGTTCCTTATTCACTGTCCAGCTTTCACATACATATGAGGTGACTGAAAATACCATGGCTTGGGTCAGGTGCACCTTAGTCCTCAAAGTGAAATCTTTGCCTTTCAACACTTTAAAGAGGTCTTTTGCAGTAGATTTGCCCGATGCAATGTGTCTTTTGATTTCGACTGCTGTTTCCATGGGCATTGATTGTAAATCCAAGTAAAATGAAATCCTTGACAACTTCAATCTTTTCTCCACTTATCATGTTGCTTATTGGTCCAGTTGTGAGGATTTCCGTTTTCTTTACATTGAGGTGTAATCCATATTGAAGGCTGTAGTCTTTGATTTTCATCAGCAAGTACTTCAAGTCCTCATCACTTTCAGCAAGCAAGGTTATGTCATCTGCACATGGCAGGTTGTTAATGAGTCTTCCTCTAATCCTGATACCATGTTTTTCTTCATATAGTCCAGCATCTCGGATTATTTGCTCAGCATACAGAGTGAATAAGTATAGTGAAATGATACAACCCTGACACACACCTTTTCTGATTTTAAACTATGCACTATGCTCTTGCTCTGTTCAAACGAGTGCCTCTTGGTCTATGTACAGGTTCCGCACGAGCAAAATTAAGTGTTCTGGAACTCCCATTCTTCACAATGTTATCCATAACTTGTTATGATCCACACAGTAGAATGCAAACTCCTAAATCTGGTATCTGAAGCCCTCCTTACTGTAGCTCAGACCTGTGTTCCTCATCTTTCAGCATACTATCTAACACATGGTTAGCCAGAAGGACCTGCCGTTTCTCTAACATACCTCATATTGTCTCATCTCTGTGCCCTTACCCCTGGCTCCCCCGGAATGTGCATTCTCTATGTTCTTCATTTGTTAAAAACCTAGCTATCCTTCAAAACCCAAGTTAAATGCCATGGCCCTCACTAAGCTCATCTTGATATTCTCATCTAAATATGATCTCTTCTACCTCTAAAGCCCCAGGAAAAGCTGTTTATAATTTTCTCATCACCTATGACCTGACATCGAATCGACTCGACGGCAACAGGTTTGGTTTTGGTTTATGACCTTGCATCAGAGATTTCTGGACATTTGTCTTATCTCATGTACTGGCTTGCTATGTTCTTTGAGCAGAAACTATGGCAGTCATCTTCACATCTCCAGTAGAAACAACTACAGGATTCCATACACAGTAAACCCCTCATAAATATTTGTAAATTTTAACAGACTTTTTACCAAAGGAACTACCTACTTCAATTAAGGACACAAAAGCACATAAAGTCTACGTTGGGCTTTTAGTATACTAATATTTAAATAGGCAATGTAAGCACATGAGGCTGTAAAACATACTTTTAACTTTAGAAAAGAGCTTGTTGACTAAGGGAACAGAGTAGAAACTGCAAAAATGTAAACCAAACTCACTTCATTTTCCTGGGCAAGTCTTAAAATTTCATCGAGTGTTACAAATGTGTCATTTCCTCTGACTGCATCTTTCTCCATAAATCCAAGGTGAATATCCGTTGCAACTAAGATTTTAAATGTATTTTCATCATCACTGTATTAAAAAAGAATATTTCAATACGATTCATTAAAACAATGTTCAAGCAAATTGAGACCTAAATTTATAAGCTAAATAACGGCAGTTACAGAGTAAAATCATTTTTCTAGCCTTAAACTTGGTCTGAAAATTTACGGTATTCAACAGATCTTTAAGTCACATAATTTTCCTACCACTAGCTCAATACAGAATAAATGTACATAAGCTTTAAAAAGGTTTTGTAACTGCTTCAAAGGTGTAGAACCTCGCTATAACCAGTTTTATACACTTATATCGCCACGAATTGGAATCGACTAGAGGGTAACTAAAAACTACAATGCAACCTGGACCCAAGAGTATACTTGTTTCCCATTCTGTTCTACAGCAAAAACCCAAAAGGACTGAGCCCTATCTCTAAACATGCTATTTATCTGATATTGCACATTTCCAGAAAACTCAGAATTAAGTGGTTAATTTAAAAGCCCTTCCTCTAACTTTATAGGTAGACTTTATGCTAATATACTAGTAACTTATATTCAGGCCCTGAAAGACACTTGCTTTACTCAACTCCCTATACAAAGTTAGTTTTGTGTTAATAAGTTTAGCCATGTAACAAAAGAGTATTGTTTAAAACACAATTCAATTTAAACTTAGTAGTATTCAAAAGTACTTTCATGTGAAACATAAACACAAAATTAAACTTAATGTCACTTTTAATTGTTTAAAATGTTTTTGTATCTATGATCTTATCTCAACTCCGACATGTAAAACCTGCCGCAGTTGAGTCGATTCCAATTCATAGCAACCCTGCAGGACAGAGTAGAAATGTCCCACATGTAAAGAAAAGTAAGACTAAACACAGAGAAATTAACTGATTTACCACACAACTAGCGGTTGGAACAGGACTAAAATAAAACCCAGGATTAAAAGGCAGGCATTTTCACTGAAGCATAATGAACTTTAAAAATTTTGTATACGCAAAATTTGGATCTTTATATACAAAAGATCTTTCCAGAAAAGAGTTCTCTTCAGAAACTCTTTAAAAACTTCAAAAATGATATCCACACAGTTCTGACTGCTATATACACAGGAAGGTTGGAATACTTTTCAGATCACATTACCACTCCATGCTTCTAAAACAACTAAGTATTTTCACATGAATTTTGTCATTTAAACCTCAAAATTACTCTGAGAAAGGCATTAGTATTCCCATTACACAAATGAAGAAATTAAGACAAGGCTCAGAGAACTGCTGACTCGCCTGAGGTCACACAGCTTGTACTGACCAAAGACTTAAAACCAGGGTAGAGGATTGCAAGTCTACAGCTTTTTCCACATAACTTTTTCAAGAAAATGATATAGTCCTTTTATTTTCATTTTACTCAGATTAATTTCCAGTTGATTCAATACTAGAGCAATGTATTCTTCGAAAACTCTGCTTAAATAGAACTGCATTGACTATTAAGCAAATACTTCATAATGAAAGTTCAACAATATTTATAGCTTCAATTCTTAAAACATAAACTTACATACTATAGCACAGATCAAATTACTGCAAGACCTCAATTGATAACTGCCTATCACCTTTCAAACATATGATATAAATTTTTAAACATTCTAAGTATTCTTTTTGATGACTAACACTTTCTTTCACAGGCAAGCT